GTGATAAATTTCTGAAGCAGATTTTCTTTAATTAATATTTTTTCGTGCTTAGTAGCAGAGATTATCTCTATTTAGATAATTTTGAATGTTTATGTTTTCGTGTGACCTCACAATTGATTTCTCGCACTGGGAAAATACAAACGTGAAGCGTTTTTATCATGCTTACGTTTAATTCAACGATGTCCTGTGCGATATTGAGGTAAGCTTCACCCTGTGATATTTATGCAGTAAATAATAACGATGAAGGTCTGACATTCAATCGTAAATTTAGAAATATTTATTGATAGAATTTTTTTCCAAATGAGGTTTTTGTCGTTGAAGTTGCCTTAATAAAATGCAGAAATTATCCTACCCAAATACTATATAAAATTAAAACAATTGCTTTCAGATAATTTAAACACTATGAATATTCTGAAATATTTGAGTATATAGTGTTATCTATCTTATTTATCGTTTGGGCGTAAAAATTCTCATTATGGACTCCGTTATGGGCCCGTAAACATGAAGTATCTAAACTCCATACAAACTTTAAACAGGGCGGTATTTGTGGGGCGATATCTTTTGAATAAGTCAAGAAATCCCATAACAGGACAGTTTTAAAATGTAAAGTACATATTAAATTAGTAATATGAAAAATATGAAAAAAAAATCATTGACAGGAATTTTTTCAGGTAAAGGTCCTGTTCCTCCTTAACTATTATCATCAGGTATATAGAAATATGCTTTAATTTTAAAAAGAAAACATCAGATTTAAACATGCATTGAGTGAATTTGAAGGGTCTTTATGGTATGAATACTTTGGCAACAATTGCCAACTAAAATGAAATATCATAACTTGTTCTTGGTATATGCTTCAAAGCTCTTTTATTAGGATTTTTTTTATATTTTCTTACCATAGTAATGTACATTATATCTGATTTATCAAACATGTTTATTATGAATTTTAGATATCAGACTTTCACATTTACGAAGCAGTCATTGTCAATTGTTTGCTTTGACGGAAATATCAACTATGGGGTTCTAAACATGATTTAAAAAATGCCATTTTTAAAAAAACTTAGACACGTTGCCATGATTACTATATCACATAGCAACCAAATTATCCCCGATTTTGGTTAAGGGTATCAATGACTTTTATCGTAGAGGGTTTTGAGACAATCTGAGATTATACGTGCCACAGGTCCTATATAAAATTTCAAGTCTTTACAGACAATGGCTCTAAACGTGTTTTTTGCACTTGATGACATTTGAAAAGATTACCAGGAATATAAAGTCTAATTTCTATACCTCCCTTTCAACAAAACAGTTATTCACCTGAAACCCCGCAGTTAAAGATGCATAAAATGTCAAATATGTTTATTTTTTCAGACAAAATTTAAATTGTATATCGAGTAATTAAGAAGTCTTTAAAATTTCAGATGAAAAGAATGCTTTAACCGCAAGATTTTTAGGATTCTATGTTTATTTATCGAACACAACTAACCAACTTGATGGTCATTTATGTTTCCATGATACAAACTATACAAGGTCTACGATCCCTTCAGTTGTTAATATAACCTGCACATTACATGGACAATACGTCATCTACTACAATGAGAGGCTTCGGAATGTAATATACCCGGATGATTATTCCCCCTACGCATTTAATGAACTCTGCGAGGTAGAGGTGTATGGTATGAGTTTTTTTTTATCCATCTATATATATTTTTGCGTCATTTAAATTGAACTTCGTTTTTTTTTTTTAAATAAATACTTACACTGGTCATTACTCATGTAATTTAAGGTTGTATTGCCAGATTTTTTGGGCCTGATTGTACCTTCTCCTGTCCTGACAATTGCCGTTATTGTCATATAGAGACAGGAGTGTGTACATGGTGTAAATCTGGGTATCACGGATATCAATGCGAAAAAGGTAAGAAATATAAATTATAAAGCTTAACCTGGTTGCCTTAAGGCATTATTATTATTTTAGGAGATATTTTAATTTGAGAGAGAGAGAGAGAGAGAGAGACCCTTGGTTTCAAGAATATCAGTGTGAAAATGATTGATGATTACCAAATTTTTGCAAAACCCTAAATTTTTGTAGTTTCTATGCCCCGCCATGAATATGGCCGGAGCATATAGTATATGTAATGTCCGTCTTCCGTCCTTCCGTCCTTCCGTCCTTCTGTCCTTCCGTCCTTCTATCCTTCCGTCCCTCCGTCCTTCCGTCACACTTTGTGTTAAGCTCTGTTCAAAGCTAAGTTTCAAAGAAATTATCCAAGATATTTTCATCAAACTTCATATGCTGATAGATACTGATGAGAGCTATGCAACTGCACCAACATTTTTTGACCTTGACCTTTCCTTTGATCTTGACCTCACTTTTCTTAAATTAGTGTTTTGCTCAGTTTTAAACATACCATTCAAGATGGTGTTATCAAACTTCAGATGTCGATTCAAACTTGCATGGATGATGCATCTAGGGATTAACACTACCAGACTTGGACTACTTCGGATGCTGGATCTGACCCACATTTTCCAGATAAGTGACCAGGTTAAAGTTTTGGAGTAGTTCCATTCCCAAGGAACTATAAGCCCTACTTAGACCAAACTTGCATTGATGATTCATCTTAGGATGGGAACTGCCAGAATTGTATCGGATGCTGGATCTGACCTAATTTTCCAGATGAGTTTTTGGAGCAGGTCCTTTTACTAAGGTACTATAAGCCCTAATTAGACCAAACTTGAATTGATGATGCATCTAGGGATGGACACTACCAGATTTGCTACGGATGCTGGATCTCCCCTATATTTTCATTCCCAAGTAACTATAAGCCCTGCCTGAACAAAACTTGCATGGATGATGCATCTAGGGATGGACAAAATCAGACTTGCTTTGGGTGCTGGAACTGACCTACATTTTAATTCCCAAGTAAGTATATGTCCTACCTGAACCAAACTTGCATGGGTGATGCATCTAGGGATGGACACTACCATACTTGCTTCGTATGCTGGATCTGACCTATTTTTCATTCCCAAGTAGCTACAAGCCCTGCCTGAACCAAACATGCATGGATGATGTATCTAGGGATGGACAATATCAGACTTGTTTCGGATGCTGGAACTGACCTTTATTTTCATTCCCAAGTAACTATAATCCCTATGTGAACCAAACTTGCATGGATGATGCATATAGGGATGGACACTACCAGACTTGCTTAGGATGCTGGATCTGACCTTAATTTTCATTCTCAAATAACTATAAGCCCTACCTGAACTAAACTTGCATGGATGATGCATCTAGGGATGGACACTTCCAGACTTGCTTCGGATGCTGGATCTGACCTACATTTTTATTCCCAAGTAACTATAAGCCTTACCTGAACCAAACTGATCAAATTTTACACACATACAAATTTTCATGTTGCTTTACTAATATATCATGGCGGGGGATTCATGTTCCATGGACATATTTCTAGTTTTTCTTAATTTTGAGCAATGCAAAATTTTCATGAAATTTTGTTTTAATTGTATATTTTCTACATTAACGCAAATACACCCGAGAGTGATTTTTTGGCGAGCAGACTGTCTCGTTGTATTGTGCGAAAAAGAATTTTTTCATACAATTTTATTTACTATATAGATACATATTCTTTTTCTGAATGCTTTTTACTCTCCCCTTTCTTTATATATCATTAACCATTATAAAACCTACATGTACATGATATGATGATATATACTAGTAACTGTACGTGTAGAGAAATTGGGAAGTTTCTAATATTGCCGGTCCAAAGAATCACGTGATTGTGCATGAGCAGTTAATTTCCTTGCTGTTGCTATGCAGAATGTAAACAAACCGCAATTTCCCACTTATTTCGACAAAACGCATTCGATCGAGTGATTAGGGTTAAATTTTTTTGTTTTTAAAATTGGGGTTGTTTTTTAAATCCGCTGTAATCTTTCTGCTTTTGGGATACTTTATGCACTTTTTGGGTGCATTCTGTGACCAAAAACTTGCATGAATTAATTTACTGATTATCCAATTGTGCCGATATATCATCCCACACTTTGGTTTAATTGATGAAACTTTTGCTGAAAAAAGAACAGGAAAGTTCTTTTTGAATAAAAGTCTGGTGAATCTAATGTCGAAACATGACTGATTTTGAGCGCTAAGTTTATGCAAGTTATTGTAAAAGCCACTTACCCAGCATCCTGATATCTTAATGTCCATATTCAAAATACTATTCATTTCAAATCGATGAGGACGCACAATTCGATTTATCAGTGTTAAGTATTCAGCTATTATTTGTTAAATCCCTGTATTTCTCACAAAAATCTCGCAATTTTAATAGCATTGCTCTTTGAATCCTATCGGGTATATCATCATTAAGTCAAAACACAAGTGACGCATATGCATCTCATGAAAATTTATGAGATATGTCAAAAATTGATCATGTGATTACATCCCTAAACAACGCAAGATGGAGTTTTTCTTCCTAAACAAGTACGTTATTTTACGAAATCTTTTTTTTCTCATTGAAAAAAACTGTGTTTAAAAACCAATTTTTAAAACCAATTTTTCACAAAGAGCACGAATTTGGATTCAATTTTGCAATCTTTGGCTTATTTTTCGATTTTGTCCATCGATCATACGATCGTTTATATATAATACATGTACACCGCCTTCGGCTGCACCTATTTTAACGCAATCTTTACAGGGACCGGTATACAGAACAGTTCCGAGAAATTGTGTGCAAACACTAGGTATTGAGTTGATTGTGCATTCATGAATGAGTGCTACAGGCATTCACACGCTATTCATTTTTAAAAAATGATTCTATTCGTTTTTCATGCAAGTGTCAAAGCCGCCAAAAATAAGAAGTACGTTTTAATGTACACATACAGTAAGATTATGGATTGTGTCAATAACGAAATCATTTGACTTTTAAAAGAATCAACGATAAATAATAAAAATGTTACATGTAGCTGTTACCCTAAATGTTCATCGCATTCAACAGAATGCGATGGTGGTAGGTATGGACAGGATTGTGGACGGATCTGCAGAACGTGTCTGGAAAATACACAATGCAATTACATCAATGGTTCGTGTCTTGAAGGCTGTGACGCTGGGTACGAAGGAACATTATGTGATAGTGGTAAGTAGAGGTTTAGATAATGCAATAAATTATAAACAATTATTTCAATTTTGTACAGAAATTCAATTGTATTTCGTCACCTTTAAGAGATATATATTACAAATTTATTCTTTAATCCACTTAGAATGTTCTGCAGAATATTTTGGATATAATTGTGAAAATAAATGTAACGACAACTGTGGTGTACCAAACAAATGTAACAAGACGACGGGTGAATGTGAAGGTGGATGTCAGGCAGGTTGGAAGGGCCTCCTTTGCAGTGAGCGTAAGAAATGAGACTTTGCATTACATTATTTAGATCATCGGATGCTGAACAATGTTTTAATCCTTTTATTTAACAAGCCGCTATAGCGCTATTTTAGCACAGCAATATATGGAGATAACAAACAATATTCAAGCTCATTAGTCCAATAAATGTCACAAATTTTGGAGTAGAAGAAACTCGTACCTCTGACATAATCAGAGGTTGGATCAGGCGCTACTGAGGAGTGATCATACCCTGCTGACCGGTCTTAGGTCTATTTGTAACTTTAAATTACAAATACGTAATCTCAATAACTGGATCTTATTTATGTACATCTATATCCTCTGTTACATTTTAAAGATAAAATACTTAACATCTTATTATTCATACATGCATTATATTTTTACTTAAAGGGATTGTAATAACAATAGTTTGTTCTTAAATGTTTCTTATCGTTTGGAACGTTATTGAACTTTGATTTTGTATAATCTTTGGAATATTATTTTAAGGACATTTATTCTTATGAATTGTTATGCGGCGGGATTGATAGATCCGGGGCGTAAATTGTTTTTGTCCTGTCTATCTGTATTTCTGTTAGTCTTTCTGTGTTTCTTTTTGTCTGTTTCATTGTTTAGCTGTTTTCTGCATACTTTTACCTTTGCGATAACTTTTGAACTGTAAAGATATGCACACTTCACTAATAGAGCTCTTTCAAATGACATCAAAGTCAACGACCTTGTGACCTTGACTGTGATATATATGCTAACAATAGCTTTTTTCGGCAAACTTTCACCTTCGTTGTAATTTTTGAACCATGAAAAAAAGAACCTTTATATTTCAGATGCATACTCCACTTATTAAGCTCTCCCCAATTATACCAATACCAATGATATTGTGACCTTGATTGTGACTTGTATGCTAAAAAGAACATTTTTGTCTTCAAACTTTAACCTTCTCCATTACTTTTGAAACACGCATATATGTTAAGGTTACAAACAAATATTCTACTTGTTTATATGATATGACGTCATAGTAAGCTATATGACGTGAAGTTCAGAGATAACCATTTCTTGAAATCAATATCTAAGATTTTTTGAGGTCGTAAAAATGAATCAAAATATGCAGAGGCATAATATAAACGGAATTTTGTCGTTTCTGGGTCTCTGTATTTTTCACAGTTGTTAAATACCAAACATGTGCGGCCATAACTGTTGATCATGCAGTTACAGAGTGAAAGTGAAACGTAACAAGAATTCATGTAAACAAAAAACGGAGTTTAAAAGCATTCAGAATGAATGCATGTGTCATCCATGTGGGAATAAATCTGATGAATAAGGTATGCCAATATTTTTACAATTTCTTCGTAAAATAAAAGCAGACAGGGTGTTTACTTGCCGATCAGCCTTTCCTCTGTCGTTCGTTATAAAAAGGATGCAAATGTTTAACACTACGCCGTTAACTTTGAGACTTAAATTTTGTTTTTATCCAAAGTTCTTTTTCTTTTGATTTTGGTAAATGATGCTAGAATCGTATGGTTTACGGGAATTGATGCAATTCTGTTCGATCGTATGAATGAAATGTTAAACTTTTTTGGAAAGTTTCATCCGAAAGTGTTGAATAACTATTTCTGTGATATAAAAGTAGAATTCTAGCAGCACTTTTCATGGTACATAGATGTTTTACAAAACAATTATTAAAATTGAAATTGATTATTCCTGGTGTAGTGGTGAGCTTTTCATTTTTTCATTAAGGCATTTTTTTCTAATTATAGACGTCACCTGGTGACGTCATATAGGGATGCTATCTGTGGTATAAGTCCCATTGAAGTCTGTAGAATGCATAATTATAGCAAAGTTTTATCAATGATTTTTCCGATTTATTTGTGTTACATATTATAAAAAAATTGTTAATTCGCCGAATTCTGATCCGTGTGCTGCCTTATAAAACCCGCGCATGAAAGAAAGAGACTTCATATTTGGTATGCTTATCTCACTCAATAAGATCTTACAAATGACACCAAGGACATTTACCTTGTGACTCTGACTCTGACCTATATGCTTAAAATAGCTTTTTTGAACCTGAACCATAACTTTTGTGCCATGAGAAATAGGGACTTCATATACATATATAGGGACTTCATATACATACTCCACTTATCAAGTTCTTTCTAATGATACCAAGGTCAATGACCTTGTGGATTTGTAAGTGACCTATATTGCCAAAAATACCTTTTTTTGAACTTTGTGCCGCCGGGCGCATAGTGTTTCACAAACACATCTTGTTTTTACATTACAAGAATGTGATGATAACAGATATGGACAGGATTGTGGACAGATATGTGGAGCGTGTCTAGGATATAAACAATGTCACTACATCAATGGGTCTTGTCTAGAAGGATGTGATGCTGGATATGAAGGAAACCTTTGTACAATGGGTAACTCTATGAATTTCTCAATAATGAAAGCTGCATAAGTAAAGCTCTCTGGGTAAGAAAATTCGGACAGAAAATCAGAAAGTTACAGGTACCGATACAAATATCTACATACATGACAGGGTATCTCTAAAATAAATAGATATCTTACTCAAATCCCAAATAAATGATATATCTTCTTATTGTTTCAAACAGCTAGAATAATGCTTTTATTGATTTTTAATATTCTGACGTACATGTTGATATAATGCTGAAACATTTTCTTTTTTAATGAAGAAACTGGTGATAATTGCACATCGATTATTTTGTTTAACATTGTATTTTATTTTTTTCAGCATGTGCATAATCTTAAACATTTTTAAATAATCGACAGCGAGCTATATAATTATGCAGCCATAAAACCAGAATGTTGTTAATTTTATCACAGAAAGAGTTGAAACATTTCCATATTACTTCTAAGGTTGTTCAACTGGAAAGTTTGAAAAAGACTGCAGTGAAAATTGCAGCGTTAATTGTGTGGTAGCTACAGTATGTCACAGTGTTACAGGAGAATGTCCGAATGGATGTCAGCCTGGTTGGGAAGGGAACCATTGCGAAAGGCGTATGAAGATCTTGATTGTTTACACAGTTTATTGACTTAAATACTTCCTAATGCACGTTGCAAAATACCTATTGTGTTGTGTTTATAAGCTGATTTCAAACGTCAAAGAATTTAACATTTGAGTCATGTGACGTTTTGAATCAAAACACTCCTCTAGAACGATATTGATATACATAATGGAAATCATACAATAATGATATTGATATACATAATGGAAAACATACACAAATGATTAGGTGAACTGGCAAAAAATGAATCTTAAAACCTTTTTTTAAATCTTAAAAAAAACATCACAACATTTAAAGCATGTAAAACGCATCATGACAATTAAATACATTAATATAAAACATTTGAAAAATTTAGCAGACATAAAAAATAAGATATAAGACAGAGAACAAAATAAAAGCTTGCTTGAATCAGTTCCCCTTTAAAAAGATTTATGAATTGACATTGTAGTTCAAGTAGAGGATAAAGAAAACTGCCACCCAAGCTTTTATGGCATCCTTGGCGCATTTTTGGTATCTGTTACAGCCAATGTCGTCTTCATTGCTTATATCTTGCTTAAGAGGTATGTAAGATTATTAAACTTGTACTGCTTAAATTGATCTTTTTTTTCCGTTTCACATGTGCATTTCAATCAATTTATAAATAAAGATTGGATTAATTAAGCCCTGTTTACATAGTTTTATTATAGTCAAGTGACAGCAAATTACATCTTCATGTATGGGACCGATCGGAAGTAAAATAATAAAAGTAATTGATTATTCTAGTCAAATGGATGAAATGTGGCCCAACGCTTTAACTATGGAAATAGTTTTCATCCTGAGAAAGCTTTATCTACCATAATCAAAGTTGCTTAAAACACAGTCAATAATTGTCATGTTACATAAAACAAATCATTAATTTCTTTTCTTTGAATTAATTATCTGTATTAAGTATGCTGACCTTGTGTTTGCAAATCTTGACTGGATTGTGATGTTATTTTATTATCATTCTTTTAATCAGAATCCGAATCGAAATCAGTAAAAATGTTGAGAAATTTTCTTTTCGGGTCAATAGTGAAAATTTGATAACAGTTAACACTCTTCTGGCAGGCTGTACAGTGTATCAATTGGGATGACTGTTTAATTTTTGTGTAGAGAATATACTTACAATTCTTAACTGAATAAAACGATAAATGATATTTATTTTGGTTTTAAAGAAAAAATGAGAAAAGAATGACTGAACCAACAATTGAAGAAAAGTTCAATAATGAGAAAAGAAAACCGAGTGACATTTATGAAAATTCGGATAAAAATGTCACTGGAGATTACCTGGAACTAGGCGAGTTGGAGAACCACTCTCATTATGATGCACTCCAGTAGCTGGGACTGGAATAAAGGAGTTGGATACGACGAAATAGAGTTATTTTTCATAATTTTCAAGTTTCTTTTATATGTAAATAATTTTATATACTTATACATGTATATAATATTTAATTTACAAAATTCTGATGAACCCCTCTATGGCATTTTTTTCGAGTTTTTTCCAGATGTATAAGATATGAATTCTGCAGCCTCATAATAAAATATTAGAGACCCCCCCTCCTCTCTCTCTCTAGTTTTTCATATTTGTTGATATTCAATAATTGTAAATAGTTATTTATATATGGTAAATATATTTGTTATTATAGTAGTTAAGAAAAGATTCTACTTGAAATTCTGCAAGTTTTAGTGTACAATAATAATAAATGTTTAAAGAGGATGCATGTTTTTTTTTTGTTTTTTGTTTTTTGTTTTTTTTTTAAATGATAGATCCCTTTTGGACATGATTGGCAAAGTCTCCACTGTGTTCTGAACACGTGTTCAAAATGACAATATTTTCAATCTTTGTATAATGTTTTGTTTGAATTTACATAGCACATGTATATATTTATACTTAAATTTATACTCATTATATATAATCATATATACTTATATACTTATATTTATTCATTAAGAAAAACTTATATATTAACATACGCGATTTTCATATGAACGCCTTTAAATTCAACTTTTCATTTAAAAAAAAAATGGAAACCAACATAAATAAAAAAAAATATAAAGAATATAGCTTATTTATGCGAAAATTTAATCCAAAATTATGCGAATAAACTTAATATTATAATTATATAAACATGACTGAAGCTGTTATTTTTCAATAAATGGATAAAAGTTTCATTGTTTTTTTTTTATTTCATATGTATTAGAGGCATAAAGATTTTTTTTACAAAAAATGTTGTAGTAATTTTAAATTTATAAAGGATGCCGCGTATAGATCCACCACTTTACTGATTGCTGTAAATGATTTCTGTGGTACTTTGTATGTGATCATATACAGATCTAAAGATCAGGCCATACTCATCCTGAAAAAAAATCAAAAAAATATGTGTAATTTCAAAATTATGACTATAGCTAGAAAAAAAAATAGGTTTTACCCACGAGAAAAAAAAGTCATGCGTTTTGTTAATGTTATGATGATATTTTTTGCTTACTTAAATTATTCCAGACACGAATTATTTTTATAAAAATCTTTTCATTTGAGGGGTCAGAAATAACAAGCAAATTTGTTATCAATTTGTGACCTATTACATCATTTTCATGGCAACTTCACGCATTCAGGGTAATTTAAAAAAAAAATATTTAATAAAGTACCAAATGTACTTACAAAATTAGCACAGAATTCAGGCCTCCTAACTTGAAGTTGTTTGACGGCAGTGAAGATATCCACACAGTCGTCCATGTTAATCTGTTGTATCACGTTATGTACGGCACAGAAAACGCCACACAGGGACGCTCCATCTCTATTGAAAGAAGGAATGATATACATCAATTTATGTTAAAGAATAATTATACATTACACACAAAATTATTGTGATAATTGTTCATCATTCTCTCAAAACTATACACCTGGCCATTAGCATTACCGTTTTAACAAAAGAAACAGAAGTGATTAACGTTGTTTTGTTTTGCATTTGTATATTATAAGCCTTAAATGAAATCAGGTACCTACACTTATTTATCTTAAATAGCAACAGCAAAGAAGAAGACAGAAACACCTAAAGTTTGACATAAATTTTACAAATTCAAATATCTTTTATGCTCATCATTTTGCTTGGATTTGCTTTACTTAGCCTTTTGAAGAGTGATCTTTGCTGATATAGCCTAGAAGCAATAATTCTGAATGTTCATTCAGTTTTTAAACAAAACAATTGATGACATGGTTTAATCTAGATCTAAAACAAGTTCCTATCTTTCGTTATATAAATCAGATTTCCCGCGATGATCGAAAACGAAAGTAGAGATGTGCCACATGGCTTGGTCAATTGAGTGATTTCTAGTTCTACTGACTTTGATGATAAAGTTGTGAGCTTCTGTGCTTTTAAAGACGATGTAAAATATTTTCATCTAATTCTTAAAACATGTAAAAGCTGTATCTCCTTTTTCATGGCAGGGATGTTGATTAATTTATCGTTACCAATGTAATCACTGGTAGTCTTGTGTTGTTGTCGTTGTCAAATCCTTGCTTGAAATCTATGTACAAAACAGCGTTTGTATGATTCCAAATCAAATCACGCGATATCTAGCGAGATTTTATGAGAGTGGCTTCTAAAATGGATACCCAAGCCAACCAAAAATACTTTAGACGCAGTTTTTGTAGAAAAGCGGTAGATTTCTGAATTAAATCGGTAGACGGGAGATGGAGTGAAAAAGCGGTAGACTCCCGCGGAAATCGGGAGAGTTAACATGTATGTATAAGAATATTTGAATTACTTGCTAACAACTGTTATTGGCTTTTCATTCTCAGAAGTCAGAGCGACAGATACCATGCTTCTAAGCTGGGATGTGTCTAGAGGTTTTCCAAATGTTTTAATGGCGACGTTTGGTTCAATAATGGTTACTGATTGAGCTTCCTCCTCACCCTAAATTAGTAAATTTTATTAAATAGAATAGAAATCGATTAAGCAAAAAATAGTGTTAATATTTAGAAAAAATACAATATGTGAATATACACAAGATGGTAGCTAATGTAACTATATCTATATTATATACTTATGAAAACAACTTAAAAGCTAAAATGTAGTGCTATACATGTATGTATTGATCTATAGTATATTTTAAAGAGAAAATTACATACCCTTTTCCATATCACATCCTGTATCAGCCCGAGACACCAATATCAGCCAGAGGGCCAAAGGCCCGAGGGCTGATATTGGTCGAGGGCTGATACAGGATGTGATGTGGAAAAGGGTATGTTTTATTATATTTATTACATACTTAGTAATAAAATACAGAACACATTAAGTTGAGAAGAAAATAAGTAAATATTCATGCATGGACTTCTTAAAATGTACATACTCTATTGTCTCATACAGTTTCGGTTTGTTTCTGTACTATTATTTCAAGTGTCCCCAATCCGTTATTTGAAAATAATCTATTACATGTATCTGTAAATCAAGATTAACCATATTTTCAAAAAGTTAAAATAAAGAGAATATGAACCCACCGAAAATTGTGTATGATCATGAGTACTGTTTTTGTGGTTTAATTAATTTACTTAAAGGGTGTGATATTGAAATCACAATAGCCGTATCAGCCCTGCAGGGCTGATATGGATTTGCAGGGCTGATATAGGTTATCAGCCCCCCAAATCCATATCATCCCTGCAGGGCTGATAGGGCTATTGTGACGTCAGCCATATCGCATATGCAAAAAAACCTGTATTTATTACTTAATATGTAAAAAAAATCAAATTATCTCTGGCCCCGTGGGGATCCGGGTTGGAATAGGTCCTCAACACCCCCTTGCTTGTCGTAAAAGGCGACTAAATGGGGCGGTCCTTCGGATGAGACCGTATAAACCGAGGCCCCGTGTCACAGCAGGTGTGGCACGATAAAGATCCCTCCCTGCTCAAAAGCCGTAAGTGCCGAGCATAGGCCTAAATTTGCAGCCCTTCACCGGCAATGGTGACGTCTCCATATCAGTGAAATATTCTGGAGATGGACGTTAAACAGTATACAATCAATCAATCAATCAATCAAATTATCTCTGCTTTATTGGTGTAAAAGCATATTTATTTTTTTCATTTATCATGTAAGTTTATGCAGAACAGATAAATGTATTATGTCCGAATCATCATTAATAAAAAAAAAATACTCACATTAGTTTGCACCACGTGAATTTTAGTACTTGTGACATCAGTTCCGGAATTTGACTGATAGTGAACAGTGAAAGGGGAGACTGCCTTGGGAGAGGAAGAAGTAGGTAACCACATCGTACTCTACAACAATGAAAATTAAGACACATATACAGTGTACAATCATTAAATTGTACTATTTTTTATTTCATCTAATCTTGTAATTACCAAAATATTTGAATATTCTGAGTAATTAGCGTTAAAACTATTTTTGTTGATTTAGCTTCTCAACATAAGCCAAATTATTATTATTATACAGTGTATCACTTCATTAAATTCTGCATCAGTAATTTTATTATGATTTTTACACTGGTACATGTACCAAAGATAATCTACGAATTATACGTTAACACTTTTTCGTTACACATCTATGCCTCAATAAAACATATTTCAGCGAATTTCAATGAAATACCGATTCAATATCGTTCAGAGGATCCATACAGATAACTGTGTCTGATTCATGGTCATTGAGCAGACGCAGGAAATCAACAGCTTCCTCTTCCGTTGGATACTGCGTCACAATAAACGCTCTGCTATTTATGTATGACTGAAAATTGCAGCAAATCAAACAATAAGAACTGTACGTAGAGAAGAATGAACATATAATATTAATTTATTTTAAGAAATAATAACAACACTTAATTCTTAATACGATTATGCATATTCTTTCTCACTGATAAATATATTGCGTTGATGAAGCTTCCTCTTTTCGACAAGACTGACGAGAGATGGACACTGAATTTATCCACTGAATAATGAAAAAAAAATTTCATTACACAATACACGGGTCATAATATCAAAATTTTATTTCAAATAAGCAGAACTTCTGGGACAAATACTATTCATCTTTGATTTTTTTTTCATCAAATGCATGTGAAATTTCCCAACTCAATAAAGGAAAAGTTAATCTTTCCATTGTTTCAAAGTGTGCATTTGTGTACATTCTTTTGCATTCTTTCATTTCCCTCAATTCTCATCGATTTATATCCTTTGATGTATTTTTTTTCTGATTTCTTACATTATATCTGACAATAAAATTTAAAATATATCTAAATGTAAACGGGAATTTTTTTTTACCATGCGTATGCTTTTTTGAAAGGATCACTTCAATTTAAATAGGGATCTGATCTAGAGGACCGGGCTTGGTTTTTTTCTCTACAAAAAACTTCTTGATTCCTGTTCCGATTAATGACATTTGTACTCCCTAGGATTTCATTTAGGCCTATATACTTTGCACACATTAATGACATTTATTTTATATCCACGGATAAATAGCCTAGACATAAGGAATAGAATTTCAGAGACAGTAGACATTACCATTATGCACAATAAGAAGTAAAGACAAAATTAATATCAATTATTACATTTGGAGATAACAAACTCAGAAAATCAATGAAAAGGTTTCTCTCTACTCACTGAAATACAGATTTAGGAAAAAACAAATTGTTAAATGTATTCAGCCTACAGTTACTGATCTATGTAGCCAAAATCAATGTGATTAAATTCTAAGGAATATATATAATTGAAATTCGACGCAGCTCAATGCTGTCAAGAATACCTAAATCAAATAACACAGAGTGAGTTACTCTTGTCCTTGGAGAAAGTGTGCTTATACTGAGTTTTGTTCCGCCTGACTGACAACTGTACATTTGATTGTTACGATTTGACATTTCTTTAGTTTTTCTTTTATCAAGAATGGGCATGCATAAACGATAGATAATTGAAGGAAAATACACAAGTTTATTAAAAAAATTAAATTGTTTTTGAAAAGGTGAAATTTTAAACTTTAAAAGTGTGGTGCCAGGTGGATTGAAACCAGCGACTTTAAAAAGAAGCATTTTACGGTGTAAAACGAACTAATATATCAACTGAGCTAGTCCGTCGATAAAAATAATAGGTATACTTTGAAGCAGATTTTCAGAATCAGGTTCCCTTATTTTTTGTAGTTTTTTGGGGAATTTCGACCCTAGGGCAGGGGTGCCCCTAAAAAATCATATCTTGAATCATTCCTTACATCATAACCTATCAAAATATCACAATTTTATTTAGGGACAGGCCTGCCCTGAAGGACTTCTAGGCCAAAATTCATGCAAAAATCAACGCTTTAACGGACAAAATGGTGTTCCGATCAACTTTGGAGGTTTATTGTGAAGTTGTAAATAATAAATTTTAGGTATGAAATACAAATTTGAAAAATTTAGACATATGTACGGTAGAAAACAACAAAAAAAAGATTAATATTTAAATGTCACTTTTTTTCGGGAAATTGTTCTCTTCTATAGGTTAATTCTTTTGTTAAAGCGAATACATCCTCATAGGTTTACACGTGTACATGTGTGCCGGGATGTCGTTATAAGCGTATAAATTGTAGAAGCTCTAGCAATCTCTTTGATTTTACTTCTAAAAGCGGAATCTGAATCAATGAGTTTTCATAAAATATTCTATTAGGTTATATAGCTAAAAACAATGACAGTATTTAAATAAATAAAACAATCACAACGATTAATTGAACATTTATTTGCTAATCCGGACCAGTCGATCCCTTTAAAACAGCTCAACTAAATAATAGCAAATAATTACTGAACATTAAAAAGCTCAGCTGGACCACTCATTTCTATTAAAATAGGTAGAATGACTACTCAGAAGGAAGTATTCCTTTCCTGTGTGCACCACCACATCCTTCCTTGGCTATCTTGTAATCAGAGTCAGTGTATGTTGGTCGTACTTTTATCAAAAGCTACAAAATAATCCAAGAACCACCAAACAGTAACCTTGCAAGATTAAACAAAAAAAAATTGCCTTATTGTTTGTGTTTTCTTGCATTTACCCCAATAAGGCTTTTATCAATAGCACATAAATCAAATCACTTTAAAATCCATTACCCATGCTCTGACTCAAATTCTTTTATATTTACACGTACATGTACTTGTTTGCTTAATCTCTTATTCAATTATTCTCTTGCGCATTTCTAACCTTTTCTTTCTTATTTATTTGATCGTATATTGTTTTGGGTCCCATTTGAAAATATTATACTAATGCAGAAACACGGCCAATAACACTTATCGTCACTTATTCTTTAAAACCGATTTTCGTCTGTCACTCGTCTTCTTTTACATACCTTGAATTCTTTATGAAGTTCGTTCTGATTGGCTGGTTTATCCATCGTGATAGATTGAGCCTTTTCTGTGAACTCTTCAATTGTGTTAACATTCACAGGGGATTTGTAAATTTCGTTTAAAGCCATGAAGATAGTAATGTACTGTTCCTGAAAAATCATATTTCTTTTTTTAGAATACTAAAATCAGGTTAAAACCAATGATCTAAAAGCAATAAAAAACAGAAGTCTATGATAAACAGACAGATATTTCTTTAAATAACAAATAAACACATAAGTTTTTTGTCGTAATTATTTACATTGGGGAGGGGTCAACTATTTAAAAACGTCTTGGGGTCAAGTTTTAGCCAAATACTTCACACCACTGTTGAATAAATATATTTTGTACTTTCAAAAATTGTCATTACAGTAATTCAATGTAAAAACAATGATTTTTTAGTATGACACATATTTTAAAAATTTTTTAATTTGTTAGGGGTCCTCATAATCTATTTATTAGATTTTTTCTATTTTTTATTTATTTATTTATTTTTTGGTTTAATATATAGATATCTTATCATTGTATCTCTGATCTTTTAGACAGCTGAGATAAGTTAGACATTTGATATATAGGAATCGTGCATTATATCTACATATTGATGACATACATATGTTTGGACCATATTCATCCTATTTTCCCTCATCTTCTTGACATATTCTGCTATGTTAACTTTTCCTGTCTTTCTTCCTATCTTGTTCAGAACGTCTATTGCTATGTATGTCCCTGTTCTCCCTATCCCTGCACTAAACCCCAAAAGAGATGTGTATATGTATATTAAGCAAACATTCAATTTACAGGCATTCCGACACATTATATTTATAACCATTATAATTTCACATTTTATAAAAGAAATATTAATCAAATAATAACTGATAAGATATAAAATAGGAGTGTAGTCTTTATAAAAGGTACATGTACCTGCAATGAACAATAGTTGGAGCTTTATTCTGATTGGTCCCCGTTCGGGTCACGTGATCAAGGAAGACAACAAGACAAAGGGGATACGGGGTTCCGTGGTCTGGCCATGAAGTATAATGAAACTGGGTCACCACACGTGATTTTTTTGTCTGAAAAATATCTTAACAACATAGTCTGTATGCATATAAGGACTGAAATGGTTTTAAATAATTACAGATAATTATTAAAATGTGAAATAATATGTTTTACACTGTGACCGTTGGGGAGAGCGCAGTTTTACCATAAGAAACACTTGCAAAATTGATCAGCCACTTCCAACATCAAGCCACACGAGACATCTTGACTAGCTGTGGCGTCACACGACGTCACGGAGCTCGTCGGAGCTTACTGAGACAGTCGAGCGTCTAACTGAAACCTAGTGCAATTTTGGTCGAATAGCGTTGCAGAGTTAATTTTGGTTTCTTTGAAAGATTTCTACAAACTGAAAACCTTTTTTGCTTTACGTTATTATTTATTTATTCGCGCAAAGGACATTGGGACTCAAAGGCATTCTGAGAATGGTTAACAGAAATAAAATGTCTGACATATGTATAGATTTCTTTCCGAATTCCCTCTGTTCTTACATGCTAGTCTATTGAGCTCTCTTCGTAACGCTCGCTCCGCTCGATATTATTAAAAATTTTAAATGAAAAATAATCTTTGATACAATTTGAATTTTTTTTTTAAACAGGAATTTTCAGAAATTCTTATGCTTAATCTGGTGAGCTCTATCTCTGTTGTGTTTTCAAACATTTTATTATTTTAGGATCTTTGGAAAATGCTCATTCACGTTCTTTTTTTTATTATTATTGTATTATTTCAATTCAAAATAAAGTTGCATTTCATATAGTGCAGTACGTACATTGTTCTTATCCAAGAATTAAAGGTGTGTATCTATTTAGATAGGGTTCTTACCTCTTTTTGGACTACCGTCATTTTTCGTACAATATAGAATGCATACTCTTTTTCCTCGATCATTTTCACAGACACAGTTCCGTAGTTTATGTGTTTGTTGGCATCTGGCCAATATTGTGTGCATTTAATCTAAAAAGAAGTACATCAATGATAAGAGAAAAAGCAAAGTGAATTAAACAAACGATATGCTTTAAATTAGTATTCAACATCTACAAATAAGTATTCATTTCTGATTTTGAATTGCTAAAAACTGAGGAAATATGGTATATATATCCAAATATATAAATATAAGCTTTTTTATGGTACATTCATTCCAATTAAGGATAACAGGAAACAAATAATAGCACTGGTTAAAATTACCTGATCATAAGCAACCAATTACAAACATCATATCAAAAATTTCAAATTCAAATATGGAACTTACAAATTTACTTTTTTATATAAGACATATTTCATTTTTCTGTTATTTGATGAACAGATAAATCAGTAAACCTTATTTCTTTCCTTCAGGTTGGTTAACATCACAATAACAGATACGTTTTCTTGCCAAATCATCCTCCAGAAATCAACAACAGTATTCTGCTTTGGTCCTAGAACAAATGCTAAGTTATTTATAATATATTATGATTAAGATTGATTTTATATTGTTTAACGCCAAGCGGGCAATTTTATCCATTTTTGGCAGATGAAACATTATGAAATTCTTATTATTTCTTCCCTATTTCTACTTCTAAGGAGTTTGATTAAATGAAAACTGAACAAGAAGAAGTTCTGGTACATTTCTGTAGCTAGACCAAATCACGTGATTAATGTCTAACTCGCAAGAGGAAAACAAAATAAGACAAGGTATCATAAAGAAAAACAATTCTCTTACAGGAGCCTGATAAGTCCTTTAATTATGTGGGTTAAAATATGGGATTAAAATTCTTTTAATTCTGTACTTGGTAGGATTTTCAGTATGTTTTTATCTCATTCTAAATAGCTTAATTTAATCAATTCAGTTCATCTGACGTGAAACCTTGTGAAGCGATGTAATCATGATCTCCTTCAGCGCCCTAAAATGTAAAAATAAAAGTATTATTTTTGAATGTTTATAATAAAAAAAAATCTTATTGTAATTGATATTGACATCTTGTATAATTATATATAAATATTTCAAAAAAATCATTTTAAATTTTCAAGGGAACAAATGTAAATTTTAATATAAAAAATAAACGAATTTACAATTAAAATGAATTATTGTGGATAAAGTTTTGATTATAAAATAAAAAGTAAACGTGTCCTTACTTCTATATAGTTGGCATTTATATAGTCAGATCCCGTTTCAGTCTTTAAAATCACTCTTGAATGATCATCTGAATAAGTAAAAGAAGGAGAAGAATGATGTAATCAAATGTGCTTTAAAATATATGCTTGACATTTAATATATTATACATTAAGAGCAGTTGACATTGAACTAAAATTAAAGTAGGCTTACAAGGAAATGTAGTCTTAAATCTATTTTTAGCTAGATTTTCATTCCTTTTTCCAACGTCACATTTGTGAATTTCACCATAAGGTAAAGTCTGAAATTAAGAAAACGTATGGTTCATTAAGCGTTTTGAAATGTGTTATAAAAAATATTAAGTATTATAAATGTAGTAAAAATGGTCCATAAACAATACGTATAAATGCATTCAAGTCAAATACTTTAATTGAACAATGCCAAAGTACAATTCTAATGATGTTTTCTAATATAAAAATAATGCTTTTGGTTCTGATGTAAGAAAAAAAAAGTATATTCAAAGTACATAATCAAAAATTACAAACAATGAAAAGAAATAAAGACTTGAAAAAAGCTTTATTTTAAAAATAGACTTTGTTGCAGGTTAGAACCCCTCTGTGGGACTTTGAGACTGTTCCTTCGGATAAGACCGTATAAACCGAAGTTCCGTGTCCAATAAGTTGCTGGCACGAAAAAGATCCCTCCCTACTCAATGACCCTGAGTGCCGAGCAAAGGACAAATTTACAACTCTCCACTAGCAAGCGGTGGCGTTTCCATATGAGTAAAAAAAAATTCGAAAGGGACTTTTAATAACAAACAATCAGTCAATCATTAAAAATCGACTTGATAATCTAATGAGAATACAGTATCTGTGTACAGAACTTACTGCATACTCCTTCTGGAACGCGTCATCATCATCTTTACTTTTCTCAGCAATATTCCGCTCTAACTGACTCAGTGGAATATCCGGTGTAGTGATGTCATTCATGTACATTTCACCATACGGGTTTTCTGCATGGATAAGCTCATCTTCATCAATATCAACTGTGTTCTCAGCTTTTTTACTTCTCACCGAATTTTTGTCTTTTGATTTCCTGGAAGCTTTGATTTTTTGGCTTCTGGAGGATGGTAGCCCAGTGTCGATATCTCTCTCATTGTCAGGTTTTTTCAGATCTTTAAATATATCCCCGGTATAACAGTTATTAGCATTGCTTTTATATTAAAAACAAAATGAAATTGTGCTACATAAAAGAAAAAAACTTAGCAATTCTATAATGGTTTAAAACATATGTAAGTACCAAAAGCTGAACACAATTCGTAAATATGCCATTTGTTAACACTTTCCCTTATATCAGTGCAAAGATTTAAAAATCTCAGCATCTCTCCTCAATTATGTATAATAAATTATTCAAATTTTCAACTAGATAAAGAATAAGAAAAGTTTCACATATAGATCTGAAGAAATTTCTTTAAATCTCACCGTGTACAGTCCTTTCGTTTTGTTGCTTGTCTTCTCTTCCTCTGAATACATGATGCCTTATTTGTTTAATAAACAATTCTATGAAGTTTATGTTTTAATAAGAGTTCAATATTAGATAGTTTATGCTTCAATACAATATGACTGTAATAAACGGTGCAAAAAGCAAATACCTTCTCAATACCAGTATCACGGTCAAAATAACAAGGAAGGCAATTAAAGCTCCGGTAATTCCTCCAATGATAGCTACTTGACTATGTCCACTATTTTCATCAGCATTTTGTCTTAAATCCTTGAAATATGCAAAAAATAAATATTATTAAATGCACTTTATTAAATGCAAATGAGTAGATATCTATAAGCATTGTACATTATTCTACATCCTTACAGAGATCATACACTCACCCCATAAATAGAACAGTCTCCAGAAAAAGAGTTACACGTACTATTTACACAACTGTCACTGCAGTTTTGCATGCAATCAAACCCATAGGTATATGGACTACATTCTGAAATGAATTGCAAAATTGAGAGAAAGCAGTTATTGTAAAAGCACAAATATATGTTGTGGATTAAATTTGGTTTATTTCCTTGATAACAATTATTAATGGAATTAAATCTAACAGGTAATTTTATATATGACTATACGTATATTGAATTACTTTTAAAAGAACAAAATTAAATGCCCACGAAACTAATTTCGATGACAATTTAACGATATTTTATTCCCACGAAAATGTGTGCCTCTACAGTATATTGCTCTTAAAAGATATCAAAAGATATCAATATTATTTTTAACCATAAGATATATTTATATATTCATTTGAAATGTCTAATTGAAATGTTTTTTGCCGTCTGTCAAATATCAACTTGTGCAAAGGAAATTGAGTAATTCAAAAAATAAATTTCATTAGGGATTTAATTAAAGGGCATTGGATTATACTGTCTGAAATGTATAGGGATAGTATTTTTTAGAAATTTTTGACCGTTTTGAAATCTGGTGCTCCGCGGGTAAATTTTTGATTTCTGTACATAAATTTTTATCATTTTATATTGTGCTTAGTTTAAATTTCTAATGAGTAATATGACGAAGATTGCATTCGAACAAAAATATTTGTCTTAAAAATTAATTACCATTAAGAAAATGTAAACAAAACAGTGGTCATTCGCATAATTTTGAAACGTAAAAATTAATCTTAAAAGATATCATTTTTTATAACCCAAATATTTATATATTCCTTTTGAAATGTATAATTTAAATGTTTTTGACGTCTGTCAAATATCAACTTGTGAGACTTGTACAAACCATAAGGTAAAACTTACTTATTCTTATGGTATAATAGATATTTTTAATACAAACACTTTACCCTGTAAACAGTATATCCCTTGGTAACCCCTGTCACACCCAGTCAAACAAGATCCATTGATGTGATGACACGAGGACGGCTGCCGACAGTCACCACAAGACTCACTACAGTTTACACCATATTTATTGTTGGAACACTCTAGAAAAGATAACATGTAACCGATTTTAAATAAAGGGTTTGAAAAATGTTTATTTTGTCTTTCTTATTAAGCATTATCGATTGTAGATAATTCAAAATAATTAAAAGTCGTTCTTTTCAAAAAAAAAATCTTTTATAGAGTCTGAACTGAGATTATTATTATTTTTTAATAAATTCATCAAAACGCTTGCGTTTGAGATTGAACCGTTTCAAATGTTCAATACACTTTATACCATCAGTGCAATGAATCCCCTCCCAGCCTGCCTGACATCCACCCTCACATTCTCCTGTTGTTCTGTTACATTTGTGGGGTACACCACAGTTTTCATTACAATTTTCCCGACAGTTATATCCATACTTTCTCTCTGAACACTCTATTATTAAGATATAGAGAACTTTATGATTACTATGTAGGTTTCTTATAGCATGAAGCAGATATCATTTCATCACTGAATCACAACACCTTGCTTCCGCTAAATTGACATTTTCATTTTATTACCCAGACATTATTTTGACAATTTGTCTGCTCTTTATATTCTTAAGAATTACTTTTTTACACGAGAATAATCTTTTTGTTCTTTGCATTATTTTGCATATATAAAGTTTTTTTGCAAATAAAAACTTATTTATATTACTATTTTTGAATTAATGATACAAGAAATTGATTTTACGGAATGCACCATTGTGAAAGTATCTCTTTGAATTGTGAATGAAAATTTTACTATCCTTATCTTGTTATATATATGTTGTTCTCAAAAGGTCTAAGTAAACAAAAACACCAAAGAGAATTATATATTGAAAATGGAAATTATTTTAAAAAGAGTACTATTGTATATGCACATTCTTAAAACACTGTACAGTTAATGCATAGGAAGGTAACATCATTTTTTAAGAGGAAGTTTTTATTAAGTAAACATTCAGTTTATTTAAATTGTTTAAAAACATTCTTTAAATATATTTAAAGATTTTTTTCTGACTGTAAAATACATTGTATATATATAAAAAAATATAGTATTACCAATATCACAATATGTCCCTTTATATCCAGCATCACAGCCTTCAGGACATGATCCATTGATGTGGTGACATTGTTTACATCCCAGACAGGCTCCACAGGTCTTACCACAATCTTGTCCATATCTCCTACCGTTACACTCTAATTAATGTAATGTGTATATATGTATGCAAAAGAACGTCAATAATTCAAACAATGAATGCTACTCTTTTTTCTGTTAATATAGAGAAATTAAGATTGCAGTTGTAACAATAAACGCATAACCAACGAAGACGGGTTGTGACTTTTTTCTTTAATGGATGCATTTTTTATTCTAATAATTACAAACAAATAAATGCATTTTACTGTTCACATGCATAGTTGTGAAAACAATCATGGCATGTTAAATACGATTTAGTAGAATAAATATCATGGAATTAGTGATACTTACATCATTGTATTTTTCATTTATGACAGGAACATTGTTTGAGAAATTTGTAAAGACGATATGCTACGCGGCTAATAAAGGACAATTATTTTCGTAAGATATATGTACAAGGAAAAAAAGTCAATGGATGTAAATATTAAATGGTTAAGGATATATAACTTTTTACCATTAATATTATCAGCTTTTTGTCTTTGCATTAGTGCTACTTAGCTACTCCAGAATAAACTCACTAAAGCGGGATTTTATACAGTCTTGGTTATGATTAATAAAAGATTAAAATAGGTGAAAACATGAGAGGAAGAGAATAAACATGATTTAAACGAAGACTCAAAATATATCCCCTTAAATGAATAACATTTTTTTGGTGCCTTGAAACTCCTTTAAAGTTGAGTTTAAATATTTATAATTTTCTTACCAGATAAACACTGATTTCCCTGGTACCCTGGTTTACACCAAGAACACACACCTGTCTCAATGTGACAATACCAACAGTTGGCAGGACAGGAGAGGGAACAGTCAGGCCCGTATAATCCAGCTTTACAACCTTTAAATAACATTTGTAATGACATTTGTAAGCGAAACAACACACAATATGAAGTTGAATTAAAATGACACAAATTAACAATCATATGGTAATTTCCATTCCTATGTCGATACGATATATCCTGGTGAGCTTGATATAAAAGATACCACGGTGTCTGTCACTTCTGTTTAATACTTGGATATTTTACTTGAAAAAGACGCTAATGGTAATCTAACAACCAAATTATATGATAAACGTGATGACTTTAACTTTTCCATCGTCAACTTCCCTAACTTATGCAGCAATATACCTTCATCACCTGCATACGGAGTATATATATCTCAGTTGATTTGATACACAAGAGCATGCTCTACGTACAGTGTAGAAATAATTTCTGAAACGAGGTAAATTATTGCCAAGCAAGTTGATGGAAACAAGAATATCAGCAGTCTCGTTTAAAGTCATCATTTCGTAAGTTTAATTGTCGATACACTGACCTTGTCAGCATATACAATTTATCATTGAGTCAAATGCTGACTGACGTTTTTCATACCAATTGTTAGTCCATTATTTATACACTGAATTAACGACGGATTTTTTCCATTATTTCCTGATCATGACAAAGAGCACACGGCGGGTGTGACCGGTCGGCAAGGGATGCTCACTCTTCCAGAGCTCCTGATCCCACCTCTGTTGTTTCGGGGGTCCGTGTTTGCTCTGCCCTTATTTTGTATTGTTTTATGGACTTTGAGATTGAATGCAGTTCGTTATCTCCATACCCTTCTACAAAAACATTTAGAAGGATCTGATGAATGCTTACCGTAGACTTCAACCTCACAGAGTTCATTATATGCGTAGTCAGAATAACCATCCGGGTATGTTACATCTCTCAGCCTCTCATTGTAGTAGATGACGTATTGTGCATGTACGGGACAGGTTATATTGACAATAGCTGGTATGGTAGAATTGGTATATTTTGTATCTTGGAAACAAAGGTGACCATCAAGTCGGCTTGTTGTGTTTGATAAATAAACATGAAACCCAAGAAATCGTGCTGTATAACCATTATCTTCATCTGAAATTTGAGAATATTTTATAATGAAAATTTTATAGAAAAAAAAATCATCGTGATGATGTTATTAAAACATTCTGATGTACACACAAATATTCTGAACTTGAGATTAAAAAGATGCTAGAATTTCTTATTGACAATATTTCGTTTTTTGGAAACCAAGTCTTCCATCAATCTATCAGAATTTCCATCGGTACCAATTGCGCTCCGTTATTAGCAGATTCATTATTATTATATTCATATATAGCAGAATTTGTGCAAAATCATATGCGTGAACAAAGGGAACACTAAATGGGGCCTTCATCTCGACATTTAGATACATCGACAACGATTTGTCAATTAACAATGATATTTTTCATACTTATTTCGATACGATATATGCTGGTGAGCTTGAGATTAAAGATACCACAGTGTCTGACACATCTGTTTCATATTTGGATATTTTACTTGAAAAAGGTGTAATGGTATTATAAAAACCAAGCTCTATGATAAACTTGATGACTTTAATTTTTCTATCGTCAACTTCCCTTGCTAATGCAGCAATATACATTCATCATCTGTATACGGAGTCTTAGTATCTCAGTTCAGTCGATACGCAAGAGCAATTACTAGGTATGAACAGTTTCTAAAACAAGGTATAATCTGACAAAGACTTTGAGGAAACAAGAATTTCACCTGTCTTGTTTAAAGTCATCATTTCGTAAGTTCTAGGGTCGAAAGAACGACCTTGTCAGCAAATACAATTTATCAATGAGTCAAATATAATGCTGACTGACGTTTTTCATACCAATTGTTAGTCTTTTATTTACACACTGAATAGACGATAGACGTTTCCGTTATTTCCAGATCGTGATAAGGTGCATATGGCGGGTGTGACCGGTCATCAGGGAATGCTTACTCCTCCATGGCAACTGATCAACATCTGATATTTTGGAGGTCTGTGTTTGCTCTGCTTATGTCTTGTATTCTTTTATGGATTTTCATATCTTGAATACTGTTCGTTATCTCAAAATATTTCATTTAAAAGGTCACTGGACGGGTTTTTTAAAAAATTGATAAGCCTTTATGTGAAGCAAGTTATGAGCAAAATATAAAATGCATTCACGTTGTAGTTTTTATGTAACAAGATGTGACAACCAAAATTTTCATAATAAAATGTATGTAGTCGAACAACATTTGTTAGACTTTTTGAATGTCATGGCATGCAGTGAATACGATAAGACTCGATATAGTTGATGTCTGATATTAATTAAAATTCTCGACGGTACAATAACAAAACCAATAATCTGTTCGAATAAGAAAATGAAAGTAGTCATAACGCTTTTCAATTTGTTATCGGTTAAAAAATCATACCAAGTATAACATTCACAAATACCATTTCTAAATTTCATCTGGTACACAAAATTATTTTACATAAAATGAAATGACTCATAGATACTTATATTTCTCAAAACTTTTTTTTTCATATGTGTTGTAAGCTTGTGCTATTAAACATGAAGTCACTCCGTGATATATCAAAATGATAAATCTGTACTCTTCACATTGCGTCTTTCAAACAATAGTATCGAATTTTTAGTTTTTTTTTTTTTTTTTTTTTTTTTTTTGCTTGTTGTTCATTATCCCTCTTAAGAAGTTTTCACTCTTTTGTATTTAAATCTCTTTATTTTTATATCTGAGACAATTAAATCAAGCTTATTTAGATTTTTTTTATTGCGAAAGATTTAAAATCTTATCAGACGTTTTTAAAGAATATATTTATTCAGTTCTGATTATACACATAATTAATATTTTTTTCAAAAAAAAACTTGATGAGACAATTATAAAATCAATAGAAGAGAGAACAAATCTTAATAGGATTCCTTTTGTTTCAAAGAAAGCCACAAACAAGTGATACTTATACATGTTAATTTGTATATAAACGAATGCAAAGTATGATGTCCGTATGATAAAGAATAAATAAATATACATGAACTGACGAAGAACATTTTTGCTTTACTCAGATAAAAAAAAACATTCATCTAAAATACGAAGACATGTCGTTGTTTTACGAAAACTATGTGTGAAATGAAAATCATTACATCCGGTAAGACTAAATCTAAAACCTGTCAAACAAACCCAGAAAATTCCGGACTCTTGAAAACTCGACCTCTTGATCTCTCGAAGTTTTTCCTCAGTCCTGCGGACTTCGAGGTTTCGAGAGTTACCTGTGTACTGATATTGTCGATCATTCATTTTTTGTAGCTGATGAGTCCCCCTTAAGGTCAGACGAGACGTTCCTCAAAATCTGTTTTGTATATCTTCGTAATGTATGAAAAATATTCAAAATTTTAATAATATTCTGATTTCTAAACCAGTTTCTAAACGTTTTTAAAAAATCCAAACACTTAAACATTTGAAATTGGAAAATTATTTTTCTTCCCCAAAGGATTATATAAGAAAAACTACCCCTGGTATCTTGTAGAAATGCCTGGTAAGGTACCTCGATTTTTTGTGAGTAAACATGTTTAAGTAGCAATACTTCAATGACAAAATCCTAGAAAAAATTATCTATTATTAAGGAACGTCTCGTCTGTCCTTAACTTCAAACTTTAAGGCTAAATCAAGGTACCGGTGATTTTCACCTTTCATTGTATTAAAAATTATGCCTGCCCAGATAATTACGAGTGCTACCGTATATACTCGCCTATAAGTCGGTCCGCCTATAAGTCGGTTGTATTTTTGACGTAATTTTGGAGAGATTTGGCATTAACCCGCTTACAAATCGGATCAATTTTTCGTCATAAATGAGTGACAATATCAAGTAAATCCATTGACGTTTTAACTGGTTACAATAAATGTTTTTAAATGACATCAATATTTGATCTTAAACCATTAAACAAATGGTTATGCTCACATAAGATACAAATAAAAATATCAAAATATTTAAATAATTGTTTTTATGTATAATCCAAGAATACATAAATTATCATGTACCGGTAAGACATTAAGACATTTACTTCGATAATCGTCGGAAATGCATATACAATACTACGTTTCAGTGTCCAGAAAAATACCAATCTCTTTATGACTCGCCTATAAATCGGACATAGTGTTTAAGACAAAAATTTTACTCCCAAAATACCGACTTATAGGCGAGTATATACGGTAATTCATGAAATTATTAAAACATATATGTTTTACATTGATAGAATCGTCAGTTAATTAAATATCACTTTACATAAAACATATTGTATGAAATGTTTATTATTTGAAATTGAACAAATTTCAAGGTATTGCAATTTAATGCATTACATGTCAAAGTAATTAACCCCCTTCTCTGGCATTATTGGTTTCAAACTATATTCTGGCACATTTTTCTTCACATATTGATAAACTGCCAGCGAGTAAATAAAAATGGTGAACATATTCTAGTTTTAATGAATAAATTCTTTTCAAAGCTATGACAGGCACTAACATTTTTTTAATACCACATAAATATTTAAGTATTCTAAATTGTTGCAGGAAAAAAAAATAAAATCTTCAGGATAAGTAAATAAATGTTTCGTAAATTATCTTACCCCAAACAACATTATCAGTTCGGTAATAAATCCGTATATCATGAATACTGAAGACCGATTCCAAGTTTACCCACCAGGTGGCAGTTCTGTATCTGTCAGCTGATATAACACACTGTCCTATCCAAGCCCTTAGGTCAGTCTTCCGCCCATCTACAGCGTTACTAGAATCAAATCTCCAATCTGACGAAATGTAAGGATATGCCTGCCATGTTTGTTTATCAAACGCCACATTAACTGAAATTGATGCAAAAAAATTAGATGGTATAGTTTAATTTTTTTTTACACACAGGCTTAACTTTAAAAAAAAAATTCAAATGGTAAAAAACAACTCTTCATCCTGTTTTCTGTTGTGAATAAGACTTAAAATTTAATATTATTTTCTTATTTATTTGATTTTTATTTTTACGTTAAGATGAAAAATTAGATATTGATTTTTCTATTCGCCATATCATTTTTTTGATTCCATACGCAAAGAGCCTACCTATGAACAATTTCTAAAACGAGGTAAATTATTGACAATCAAGTTGATGAAACATGAATATCAGCAGTTTCGTTTAAAGTCATCATTTAGTAAGTTCTATGGTCGATACGATGCACTTGTCAGCAAGTACAATTTATCCTTGATTCAAATGCTGACGGAATTTTTTATTATTATTTTTAGTCTATTATTTATACACTGAATTGACGACGGATTTTTCCGTTATTTCCTGATCATGACAAGGACCACACGTCGGGCGTGACAGGTCAGCAAGGGATGTTACTCCTCCATGGCACCTTATCCCACGTCTGATGTTTCGGAAGTCCATGTTTGCTCTGCTCCTATTTTGTATTGTTTATGGACTTTGAGATTGAATACTGTTAGCTATCTCCATATCCTTTTCATATCCTGATCAGATATAATATTCATTTCTAAAAATGTACATATAAGCAAGGTTTCATGCTTCAAACTTCTTCTTTCCTTTATGAATGAGATGCTATAGTTATTGAAAAAATCAATGTTGGGAAAACCTTTTAAGAAATGTTAAATTTGAGCAGAGGGCTATTTCACCTTAATTTTTGAATATCATTGAAGTAAACATGTTCTCTTTTCGACGGAATATTCTCTGATTCTTTGTTTAAAATGTATGACCAAATTTTTAAATTTGGCAGGCAAAGTTCCGGCCAGTGAATAAATTCAATTGTCATAATATGATGTAGACAAGTACTCTTTATACAAAAAGAAGTAAATTAAATAATTCGTATAAACAAACTGATGCCATGTCAGCAAATTATAACCAGTAAATAAATTAGTGATAAACTCAATTGGAGGCTTCAAGGACGCAGGAAACAACAAACCCCAACCCATCTTCATAAAGGAAATTAACAACTATACTCTATGACATACCAGATGACTCAAACTTTTCCGCCGTCATTTTTTCTTAATTATATGCTTATAACTTTATGATATGAGTACATGTATATCTCCAATCTTGTTCTATATACTCAAGAGACTGACAGATAAGTAATATTAATGTTACATAATTTCAATTAACACATTTACAATTGGCATCTCGGAAATGTCATGGTCGTTTATATGACATCGTTAGTAAATATAACCTTTCAATTGGTCGTATTTTTCTTGATGGGCTTCATACTTAGTGTCGGTTTTGTAGTTTTTTTTTTATTTTTAATGAATATAACCTCGGACGTTTTTTTTAATTTAATTTTTTTATTTTTGAGGCATTTTTAAACTTGTTTGTTATAATCAAATACGGAGGGCACGGACAGTTCTCGAGTTCAAGCGTCCAAGGAAACAGTTGGAATAAAGAACAGGGGAAATATCAGAAATGGGATCATACGAAGGTTGTCCGTAAAGTTCGTGGACAAACTAAAAATTAGATAAATGTGGGGTCATTGATATTTATTATTAGCATATTTCTAATCTTTTACTAAATGTGAATTGAAAAATGTAAAATTTTATTCAATTTCAAATGTTTAAATACAATGATGGCTTCGTTACATGTATTAGACTTGAAATGGAGACCCAGAGCACCTCAAAATTTTAATTAAAAAATTATTGATAACATCATAAATTTCATTTGTATTTTATTAAATTCTCCGGAAATCTGGATATCTTTTACATTGTGAGGTTGACAGAAGTTATCACGTCAAACATGCAAAATTTGAACGTTTAAAGTTTCAAATGTCTGAGCAATCAAAGGTAGAACATATTAAGACAGGATCGGAATTGTTCAAAAAAGGGAAGTTTTCAGAATAGGTGGAGCAGTGATAAAATTCTTCGTAAATATCGGAAAAACACCTAAAGAGACCAATACATTTAATACACCATCGGTGAAATATAGTAAAAGAAGATGTTCATTAGTATTTTAGTGACATATATTTTTGGACGAAAGGAACAGTTTATATAGGATGAAATGCGAAGAGGAAGATCATTATTCCAAGATTGCATAGCTGTAACAAATGATTCTCGTAACGTGACTTTGTCATATTTCCATATATAAGATATTAATCGTTCTTACATGGTCAAGGTTGAATGATTGCATTATATGAAACAGGTATTGTTAAATATTATTTTACGTTTGAAACTCGAACATTTTGTGCACATTTTTATGACTGGTTAAAGCGACATAAGTTCGTTTTAGTTATCCGGGAATAAGCGTGTGGTTTATTTTTTTTGTATCAGAAAAAATATTACTCTTTGAGCTTTGTTTTTGTTGAAAACTTGCATTTTAATGTAATGAAACATGAATTTAATTAAAATGATAGTTTCAGATATTTTATCAGTGTTTGTCAGTAATTATCAATGTTGTCCACGACCTTTACGGACAACCCTCGTATGCCTTGGAGGAGTGAGCATCCCCTGTTGACTAGTCACACCAACTTTTGTCCTTGTCATAATTGCAAAAAATCCATACACAATTCAGCGTATAATTTAAATAGTAACCTAAAAATTAGTATTTACAAATTGAGTAGTTTCCGAGAGCGATAGAGAGAGGAAAGTGAATGAGTAAGGCATTATATCTCACTTATAATGAAGCAGTAATACATGAACGACATCCGTAATTGAAATTTAAAACAAACGCCTTGTATGAATATGAATTACTACTTAGTTTTGAATATATACGTACTAAAAACAGATACTTAATTAACTACAAATATCTTGATTTTGTCAACAATAGAAAATTTAATTTATCATTTTTGGGGAATGTGATCACACGGATGGATTCAGAGAGAGCCCAGGTCCCTCTTTTGTTATCAAAATATACATAAGTTTTCAAAAATCAGATTTGGGGGTGACTGTGTGTCTTCAGCCCGACCTTAAACTCATCGACCCCGTTTCAAGATTCCTGGATCCGCCATTGGAACAAAACAAATATCATGTACCAATCATACCTTGCGTTATCAATTTGAATATACATCATAAATATTTAAAGCTTAAATTTATTTAACATGTATAACCTCTTTTCAAGAGAAAATGAAGTGTTTTAAAATAATGGAAAATTTCAACTTACCGTAACCATACGCATAACTAATTATCAATGCTAAATAAAATATTGCCATTGAAACAAACTGACGAACTATCACAAGGATGACTAGTTACAGTGTACATGTACGTTGTCAATCTTATAATCAAGTAAAAAGTAAATCTTCCAGGAAGTTTATCTACGTCACTTGGCCTTAAAGATCATTGACCATAACTAAGTGGGAAAGAAACTTTTTACTTGTAAAAAAAAATAACACATTAGCAAAAAATAATCCTTCAATTGAAAACGAAGATATTAATAAATTGTTCATGAGGAAGGTAAAAGGGTTAGTCCCTGTGAAAGAAAACTTCCTTATTAGCTAAATATCTGAAAAGGTTAACAAGAGGTAAATTGTATTCATATTTCAGGACAATATAATATCAACAGAAAAAAATTTAAATACTTCATGAAATGTACATAGAGTATCAAAAAGATACAAGCAGTTTAAAAAGGCGTCACTCTTTTGCGTCTAAAAGGGACACATATTTGGAGATTACATTCGGTGTCCATAGATTATCCACAGGGATTTTGAATGCACGCAATATGTGTAATCTTCGGATTCTTTGTTTTTTGATACAAAACCGATATTGCATACCAAAAAATTGAAAGAATGTAAAGTTTCTATTAGAGATTTTGACGATTCCTTTTCTGATCCTATGTGTAAGTTTTCAAAATATATGTATTCTGTAAGAACTGTGCGTAGGTCGTGGAATATTTTTATTACTACTCAGTAAATATTCCTAAGCTATAGCTGTAAATCTTAATGAACAGAGATTCTATATCAAAGATTAAGCTTGTCGAAATTTGAAGTGTAAATCTTCTAATGTTGTCCACGAAAGGAAATTCACTTTGTGTAAGCTTTTGTTGAAACCAAATATTCACTAAAAGAAAAGTTAGCAAATCATAGATTTCAAATGAACAGTTGGGACCAGCAGCTTCTACATGTATTTGTGCATTTTATAAACATAATATAGGCATCAAAAATTGGGGTTTTCCTTTTTTTGTTCATTAAGCATTAATTTTATCGGTACACCACTATACGCGACTTTACGTTGCGTATACGTATCTTTATACGGACACCTAAATACAGGTATTTTGGTACATATTATTTTGTCCAGAAATTATTCATTTATTTGTTCAATCTTTAAAATTACAATTACAGAAAGTTTTTTTAAAAAATTGTAAAAGATGAAAAGAACAGTATACTAGTAAGTTACCATTCAAACATAAATAATTTAATTTTGCTTGTATTCTTGCCTCTCATTGGTTGATTTCCAAAAAGGAACGCATAACATTTTGTATAATCTGGTTTGGTATGGGGACACACCCCCTTGACAACCAGCATAATCATCTGTATCCATCAATCCCCTCATTTCCAGTCCTTGGGATTCATGGAAAATTCCAGATTTAATGAATGTACCTTTAATTTCAAACAGTTACTCGATCTTACCTCAATGCATGTAAACAAGCATCATGGCTGCTAGATCTATGTATCAGTTTTTACCTCCCCTCGCTTCCCATCACTTCCGTTACTACGGTTGTATTATTGCGCGGTAGATTTGAACTCATAAAAACAACACAATTTTACATCCCAAGTTGAATAATTATTTTAAAATTAAATTATAAGGAATGACTCTAATTCTTGGCCAAATTATCGAGTATAATATGGTTTGGGTCAGTTTACGCTTTTTTATAATCCGCTTCGCGGATTATAAAGCGTAAACTGACCCAAACCATATTATACTCGATAATTTGGCCAAGAATTAGAGTCATTCCTTAATTAATTTCATGTACAGAAAAAATTCAAAAATGTGAAATTTTATTTTTCTAGCATACTTTTAGGAAAAATAATGACTAATTCATTTAAAATCATTGTAAAATCATTGTAAATTCATTGTAAAAATATCATGATATTTTCGTTATAATTTTGGGGGAAATCGTGAGATATCGTGATACGATTTTTTTTTTGTCAATATCCATCACTACCTGCAATTAGCGCTCCCCCCTCCCTTCTTTCCATTTGTTTCTGACGCCTATGCTTTTATAAAGAAAATGATAACTAATCACAACACTTTATTTAAAAGTTTAATACATTTTTACTCTGGTCGTTCACACCATTGGCGACCTTTAATAACTGCGATTTTTTTTTTAAATGATAAGTTCACACAATAAAAATAAAACTATTTAAACTTGGATTTTCATAACATATTTTGGTATACAATAATTATATTTTGAAATATTCATTTTGAAAAAACTCCATTGTCCACGAATTTTTTGGACAACCCTCGTATTTACACGAAAAGCAGCTGTTTATCATTTCAGTAAATGGCCTTTAATTTATCATGGCCATGGGGGTCTGAATGTTTGTAAAAGTATTCAGTAGACGTACATTTTATCAGAATTAAAATGGGTCAAATTTGATGATTTTATTTTGTTTTTAAGTTCGTCGAAGTTTCTAAGTATCCTACAATGTTTTACACAACTTCATAGTTAACGAAAATACATGCAATATTAACTGAACTCCTGAAATTTTTCCTTCACAGTCTTAAGAATTTTAGCTCAGCAAATCCAACATTATAATATTACACAATTATATAGTCAATCAATAGACCTTATATAATATATACAAACAGAATTGGTTCATAATGCTACAAATTCATGGGATTAGAAGTTGTATTCTCCTGAGAGTCAGTTTGTATATTTGCAAAAAAGGAGTGTTAACCCCCCCCCCCCTTTGGTTCCTACGCCTATAAAAATGAGTCAAAGTTTGATAAAAAAAGAGAAAATATCACAAATATAGCGGTTTTAATAATTTTCTGATACCTTTAGTATCGGTTACTATTATTCAAGGCTAATTCACTCTGAATTAGCTGCTTTTATAGAAGAAAGTGCATAAATATTTTACCTAAATCACAGTACTTAATCCTAGTGATTATCGTTCTTCTCAAATGTTTTAGTTGATTATTCCCCCTTTTAATAAAAACACCTGAGGGCGCTTTGGTTGCAACCTCCTTTTTCAATATTCCAGCATCATCTTGGGTGGGTAAAAATTTTCCAGCCTGTTATTGTGTATTATCAATTTGAAACAGTCATTGAAATTATTAACTGATTTGGAGAAGGCATTTTTAAAAGTGATCGATATTTTCAGCTTTTATGCTCGGATTAGGTATAGTTAGCCTATTGTCCCCGATGTTAATGGATTTCCTGAGGGGGGGGGGGGGGGGGGGGTAGCGTGGACATTATGTAAAGCTTGTAAGATGGGGTCTTAGTTATAAATAGAAGGTCTAGTTAGATAAAAATGTATTTAAAATACATAATTAAATGGTTGGGGGGGGATCGTCGCCAAGCCTTCCAGCACGATAGATTCAATATTAAGATCGAAGACTCTCGAAATTACATGTCGATACGGATAGCTATGATCGATATATTAAAACTAAGATCGATTGCAATTACTAGATTGATTTAATAATTAATGTTTTAACACGGTTTTTCTATAGTACTATACCCCTAAATTATCCTAGCATTTGCTGAGTGATCTGACAAGTGATTGTTTTCCGGATTTGGTTTTTTAGATTAGTTTGAATATTCAACTTCCAGTTAAGAAAAAACACTTTATGTTTATTTTCAGTTTTAGTCCACTAATTGACTAAATATTTTATTACCTGTGAATCGATTTCATAAAAGGTAAGCGGGATCAAGCACAACAAAGATATTTCTGTCCGTTAAGTCAATATCAGAATTGAAACTTTATAAATTTAGTTTAATTTAAAATTGCTCATATCCTCTATGTTTTGCTCGTCGTTGAACAACAATTCAGGGGTTCCATTTTTAATGGTAAAATTCAGGAAATAAAATATAATTAATGCAATCAAAGCAAGTTATTTATTGTTAAAATGTTTTAATATAGTCAAGACTTCTTGTAAAGCAGTCTGACATGGGAAATTTAAATTCACTTGTTATTTACCTGTTGTTAATTTTATAAAACACAAATAGGTTATCACTTAAATTACCATAATTGACTGTTACACCGAAACTTTCTGTTTTTAAATAAAAACGCCCAAAGTTTCCAACAAAGTTTATTTGTATTCACATGTAACACTTTACACACAGGACCCGACTGAGTAACTAATTGAACACACAAATTCTACGCTAAATATTAAGAACTGCCAAATTAACCCGTAAATTGTGAACACTATGAATTCTGCATTTTCTCATGGCCAGCACTTGGGACATTCAATCCCCCTGAGGCTCGGGTGATAAAAGTCAGCAATGCTGATACAAGAGCTAAATTTCCCAGCCAAATCTTAATGAGCGGTCACGCCCTTATCACATAAACAGATCACTGCAGTCTGTAGCTTAGAGCAATTAGTACAAATCAACAGGATTAAGATAATATAAATCAAGTATTAATTATACAAACAATTTCACACAAAATTTCACTTTAACATTGACATTTGACATGGTTTTCAACAGTGTTTGAAATAACCGTGCACCTGACCGCCCGAGATGCACAAATTTATACGTATTGACGCCCAGCTAGACGAGTAAACTAAAAAAAATTCCCATAAATTAAAATTCAGATCGATATTTAAAACTCTGTAATCAACTATTACTGGTTGCAAATTGTAACAAGTAAATGGGTAATTCATCATGCAGACTATAGGTAAGGAATCAAATGTGTAGCGAATCAGCCCTATTCACATTTTTGCTGTTTAAAAGTTTTAAAGATTTCAGATAAAAATAAGGTACATTCTAAATACAATTTAAAATTTCCTCTCTTAAATATTTTGGATGGTTTTATCAAATTCTAGCCAGATAAATTTTTACCCGCTTCCAGCAGGACTGTCGTACTCATGTAGAAATCTGGAACACATCATACATGTAGAAGTGTGGTGATAATTCCTGGTGTAGGGTTTTGCCTAACTTAGTGTAAACAGTTTTATTTCTGCTATATCTCCTTTTAACCTCTCTTTAAATTTATAGGTAGTGTCTTACGAGTTTAGGCACCATACAGTGTTTTTCCCTTTATTTCAAAGTAAACGGTTGGAGGTCAGTTGTAACAGGCTCGGAGCTGATGTTTGTGAACAGAATCTCTGTGGACCTGGCAACAAATTTTGTTTCAAAGCGGCATTTTTGTCGATTGGGGTGGTCGA